TTTTTTAAAAATTTGTAAACTTGATTTATATATTAATTAGAATTTTTAATTTAATAGTTGGATCATTAAAATTTAATATAAAACATGTGTTATTGAATAAAATAAATCTCTTACAATTAGAGCAAGTAAAATAGTGAATTCTTTCTCTATATATGTGTGTTAAATATTATAAATTTTACATTTAAGATATATATATATATATATATATATATATAACTTTATCTATTTAACTTTCTTAAAATATAATTGACAAAAAGAGAAATTAATTATAAAATTTTCAATAAAAGATTATGAAATTATTATTTTATATATTAGAAACACGGTTATATTACTTATTTTTTTTAACTTTTTCTGTAACTCATTTTCATTACAGTTTTAAATTATAATCTAAATTAATTTAAAATAATTTAGATCATTAATTTCCTTTTAAACCTTAATTAATATTAAGAAGCCAGATCAATTTCCTTTTCGTTAACCAACCTTCTTCTTTCTTATTTTTTATTCAGATTTTTTTTTTCAATTCATAATCCTCTTCTTTCTTATGATTCAAAAATATAAGGCTAAAAACCTATTTTAATCCCTTATAATAATTGTTTGTTTCAATTTAGTCCCATTTTTATTTTTAGTCTCAATTTGGTCCCAAATAAATTAATTGGTTGCAATGTCGGACTTCCGTCCAAATTATTTAAACAGAGTTAACTGTTGGCCACGTGGATGCCACGTAGATGCATAGGTGGACGCCACACTGTATAGTTCAACTGTTTAGCAATTGAAGTTATCAATTTCCATTGACAATATTACCAAATCCAGTATTTGAAATGTTTTGTATCTTGGGTCTTTTTACTTCCACGATTCACAACCATGAACTATAATCATCGATCGTTTGAAATATTTCTTTTCATTAAATAAAATTTGGGATGTTACAATGATTATACTTAAATATATAAAATTAGTTTAAATTTTTGAAGAATATGCAAGATAAAAAAATTAAAGTGATAAAAAATATTATGATTCTACCATGAATTTCAAATAATATGTTTTAATGTAATACTTAAAAAAAAAACCAAAATATAATTCACATGTATAAAATATATGATTTGTTAACATATCACTAATTACTTGTTAGTACATATTTATAAATTAAATATAATTAAAAGATATTAAATAATTAGTCTTTAGGTTATATAGTATAATGGTATAATTTAACTAATTGAAATCATTTTTTTAAAATTAAATATAACTAAGTTGATGAATTTGGACAATTGTACATAATAATATAATTATGTATAATTAATGTTTGTTGATAAAGTTAATTAAAATTAAGTGTGAAATAAATACCACATGTTATGCCATCTAATAAAAATATAATTAATTATAATTAAAAGGTATTAAATAATTACTTTTAGAGGTCTAATTATAAAATTTGCGTTTATAATTCATTATCATTAAATATGAATTCAATATTATAACTGTTATTTTTATAATATTTTTTTAAAATTAATCCTAAACCCTGAAGGACAATCATTTTATCTGTTTTTGTTGCTTTGGTGGCCCAAAATGTATTACAAATTAACTTTGAATTTTTCAAGAAAGTAGTTAGTAACAATAGGAATAAATTTTAGGGTTTGTTTACTTTGAGAAATTGTTTTTTGTTTTCATTTCTTGTTTTCACTTTCAACTATTTATTGTACTTAAATATACAAAATTAGATTAGATTTGTTAAAAATAGTAAGATAAAAAAAATTAAATTGATCAAAATATTATAATTTCACCATAAATTTTAAATGATTTTTTAATATAATAGTTAAAAAAAAAGACCAAAACATAATTTACATATATATATATATATATATATATATTTTTAGGGGAATAATTTACATATATAAAATATATAATTTGTTAACATATCACCAACTATTTGTTAGTGTATATGATTTTTCACATATTAAATATAATTAAAAGACATTAAATAATTAATTTTTAGGTTAAATAATGAAGTAGTATAATTCAACTAATTGAAATCTAATTATAAAATTTGTATTTATAATTAATTATCATTATGTGTGATTTTAACCCTAATTATAATATAATTGTTATTCTTATAATCAATTTTATTGAATCAATTAAGCATGATTGATTGTACTTAATTACGTAAAATTAGTTTGAATTTATTACAGATATATCATATAAAAGAATTAAAGCAATAAAAAATATTATAATTTTACCATGAGTTTCAAATGATAAGTTTTAATATACTATTTATAAAAATAAAATAAAAAACAATACATAATTCACATATAAAAAATATAAATAATTTGTGAACATATCACTATTCACTAATTACTTTTGCAATACATAGACATAGGCCTGGGCAAAAACTTCCGGCCGATCCGAAACCGGCCAAACCGACGATCAGATCGGGTGAAGCGGATTAATTCTCAGGTATTTCGGATTTTTTCTGAAGCAAATTTTGGGTTCAAACGAGTTTTAACGGTCGGATTCGGTGTTAGAATTTTCTCATCCGATGCACCCGAATCCGACCGTTCGTCTTCACCGTTTATTTTCTCCGTCTCTTTTACTTCGTCTTCTTTCTTCTTCTTCTTCACTCCGTCTTCTTTTCTCTTCTTCTTCACTCCGTCTTCTTTCTTCTGCTTCTTTCTTCTTCTTCATAGTGTCTTCTTTCTTCTTCTTCTTCACTCCGTAAACATCCTCTTTTCTTCAACTTATTCCTGCCATGGCTACCGCCACTGAGAAGCTCCCTGTTCTGGTTGATGAAGGTGGTGATGTGGAGATCTGAAACTCCGTGATTTCTCCCAAATGAAGCAGTAACAGAGACCGGCAAAGAGTGACGAAGGATGGCGGCACGAGACGCTAGAGGAAGCTTCTCAAACCGATGAATCCATCCGATGAAACCGTAACCCGCACGGATTGAACCCGCTAAAACCCGAGTTCTTCGTCGGTCGGAAATGGCTCCTGATTTTTCTTAATCGGTTTTGGATGATTTTAAGAATTTTTGTCCGAAACCGACCGTGGCCGACCGATGCTCAGGCCTACATAGACATATATGGATACTAAACAATTCCTTCCTCCCTCTTCAATTATGTGGCCATTTTTTGTGATGGCTGCAAAAACATATAAGAATAGCAAATTAGGAGAAAGAACATCATCTTTGACAATTGAATTTTTAAAAATAAAAAAAATAAAGATCACCTTTATTTTTTGATAAGAATTATGAAAATGAGAACTCCAGTTTAGATTATTCACGAGAGAAGTTAAACTAATACCACCTAAGTACAAGAAAGATTAAAATTATGACAATATATGAGAATTGTAGTTCCAAACATTCATGTAAAAAGAGAACAAATGTCATCTTTGACAATATCATTTTTTGAAATAATAAAAATAATGAAAATTATCTTTAATTTCTAATGAGAATTGCAATATAAGATAAAATTGCGATTTATAATTAAAAATGAAGGAAAATGAAAAATTAGAGAAAAATAATAACACCTTGTCCCATGAATTCTTCTCTCTTTTATCGGTTGATGTTTTGAGGTTCTTAACTAAGATGGTCTTTTGTTTCTATGACAATTTCTGTTCTTCAATAAATTATATTTTGCTTTCATGACAATTTATTTGAGTTTTTCAATAAATTCTCTTCCTCCTATGCAAATAAAATGGCAGTAGGAAATGGACAAACAAAAAGATAGAGAAATAAAGTCATGCACAAGAGTAAAAGAAGTTAAATATATAGAAGTGATTATAGAATAAGAGTGAAATATTCATTAATTTTGAAATTTACACCATAATGTAAAAGGATGAAGAAGAGTTGACACATAAACATATACGCTAACATGATAATGTGTAAGATTAATTTTATAACAAGGTGCTAATGTAATAACTTGTAGCACAATTTTTTTATATTATAAATAGATAAATATATTTGAAATTCAAGAGTATTTGAAATTCTTCAAAATCATATAATTTCAAAATTTCCAAAATACTTTTTCTGGTGTGGTGAATTCACACACACACACAAAATTATTTTTAATTTTTAAAATATATAATATTAAAATTTTTAAATTGTTAAGTATTTAAAAATTGACTAATATTTATTTTTACAATATTTAAACAATTTTAATATATATAATCAATTTTGCCTAGTAAAAATTAAATTGTCTCATCCAAACTAAGAATTTAAATTTTAATAATTTGAATTAAAATGATAAAAATTGAAATTAAAATAACTTCAATTTTAAAAAAATTTATAATACCTCATCTAAACACAACCTAAATACTTAATTTTAAAGGGATAATTTTTAGTAACTTCCATGTATAAAAGTTAAACAACAAATTTATTCCCAATGTTAGTGATCCGTAGAGTGCACGGGGTGAGAAACTAGTTAACTACAATTACCACAATATAACACAGATTCATCTAATTCAATTACCAAATATGTAATTCAAATAACGATGTTTCAATTATCAACCAAAGCTAAATAAACATGATCAATCAAGATAAACCTTGACATCAATCCCATTATCAATAAGTGATTGAACAACAGCTCTGATTTTCCCTTCAAACTTGTCCCTATCCCTTGGAGTATAAGAAGCAGTGTAAACATCAGCTTCTCTTGCTCTTTCAGATAAAATCCTACCAATGGCTATGCATGCTGGTATGTCTGAACGAGACCTAAGAACAGCTTTTATGTCCTTTGAGTTGGTTCCAGCAACTGCAACCTGTTTGCTTGTCACCCTATGAGTGAGTGAAGCTGATACAAAACGTTTTGAGATAAAAACATCAAGTGTAAAAGGCTCCATGTAAGCAATTGTTCTTTGTTTGAATGATACATGCTTATTTGGATTCTTTGACTTCTTCCCTTTTTGATATGTGTAAGGTCGGCTATTGTCATCATCAAGGAAATCCTCTACCCCAAAAAAGCTTCTAGGTGCCATATGCGCCTGTATAAAAGAAATGCTCTAAAGACGATTACTAATGCTACATAAATGACTCGCCTCAAATTGGCATTTCAGTGTTATTAATTCTAAGTATTTAATTTCAAGTTTCAATCTGACAAAATCCATACTAACTACAAGGTATGGTAACTTTGCCCATACACCACAAAGGATGAGGAGATTCAAGTTGCTGCCTGTCTTGTTGAAAGGCATAGTTCTGATAATGAATGGTAAAAACAGTAATTCAAAGTTGCTACAAGTATCAATGAAATCACAAACAAGTGCTTAACATAATTAATGATAGTGGTTATCAGGAAAAATGAACTCAATCTGAAATAAATTTAGGTAGCTGCAAGTCATAATTCTCTTGGTGCTGGGCATGAGTCCATGCCAATAATTAATGATGATAATATGGTTTGGACTTTGGAGCCTAATTCTAGGAAACAAAAAAACCTTATTCCTCGACAACTTTCTCCAATTGCCTTCTTAATCTCTCTCCTCTCTTTTACAAGACTAAAAACTATGCAATCTACTCTTATCTTTTCCTCAATCAGTGCTACACCAGACAAGAAGAAATAAACAGTAATAATAGGTGCATATATATAATAAATTGTTTTTATAAGGAGTTTAATGAGTCGGTTACAATTGGTTTTTTTGGAGTTAATTACATGGTTGATAGGATACGTCCTGTTACTCAGGTTTATGAAAGAAGACAAGGAAATTGAACAGTTAGGTAACTAACTAGTTGTGGGTTAGTTAGTTAGTTAACAGGAGTTAGTTTCTGTCTGTGTTTGCTGTAGTCAAGGTATATAAGGGTCACAAGTGTCAAGAGTGGGTGGGGTAAGAAAAGGTTAGTGAATTGAGTGGGAGGGGCCAGGTTCCTCGAATTATCAGGGTGTCACTTTTTCTTGTAATTCTCTCATCATCAGTAAATACACAATTTTCATCCTTTTTCTTTTTCAACATACCTGGTCCAGTTCTATCAACTGGCATCACAGCTCCAGAATCCAGGAGCTTTGGGTGGGTAATAGAGCTTCTAATGGGGGATACAAGGACTGAGTCCTGGGTTGAGGCTTTGAAGAAGGTGAGTCAGTTCAAAAAAGAATTGGATGCAAAATTGGAAGCAAAATTCTCCCAGCAAGAATCACGCATGAATAAGCTGCAACGGATGGTGGAAAAGTTGGTGTCTATGTCTGAAAAGAATTCAACAACAAAAGACCCAATGGGTGAGAACCGGGGAGAAAATGAAGAGGAGTCCAGAGAGAACATGCAACTTGAATCGGGGAAAGTGAACAAATGGAATAAGCTTGATATACCAATCTTTGAAGGGAAGGATGCTTTAGGTTGGATAGGAAAATTGGAGAGGTATTTTCAGTTAAGGGGAATAGGGGAAGAGGAAAAGATGGAGACAGTGATGGTGGCTCTTGAAGGAGATATAATGTCATGGTTTCAATGGTGGAAAACTTGCACTTCAAATCAATCTTGGGAAGGATTCAAGACTGCCTTGATTGAAAGGTTACAACCAGTTTTGAAGGGTGATCCTTCTGAATCTCCTCTAACCTTCAAACAAGAGCAGACAGAGGCTGAATTTATAACCCAGTTCAAAAGGCTAGCAGGAAGGGTGAAGGGGCTGGATGAACAGTTTTTTATGAGAATATTTTCCAGTGGGTTGAGAGAGGAGATTCGGACAGAATTAAAATTGTATAAGAGGAAGAGTCTTTCGGGGATGATGAATATGGTACGCCCCATTGAGGAGAAAAATATAGCAATAGCCAAAAGTAGCAACATTCTTGGAAGCAATCTTGAGGGAGTGGCATACAACTCTGTTCTTAGTTATGCTAACATCCACCAGGAGGACAAGGAGCCACTAATAGAGGGGAGTATTGATAGAACTCAGGTTCATGACAGAAGATATAAAAGGAAACTAACAGATAACTAACTAGTTGTGGGTTAGTTACTTAACAGGAGTTAGTTTCTGTTTTGGGCTTGCAGTAGTCAGGGTATATAAGGACAAAAGTGTTAAGAGTGGAGTAGGAAAAGGTTAGTGAATTGAGTGGGAGGGGCCAGGTTCCTCGAGTTACCTGGGTCTCACTTTTCTTGTAATTCTCTCATCATCAGTAAATACACAATTTTCTTTTTTTCTTGTTTCTTTCTCTTTCAACATACCTGGTCCAGTTCTATCAGCGGTCAATGAATCAAACAGTCAGTTGCAAGAGGTTTCTTTTCAAGTTAAATAGAGCGAAAAGGTGGCATCCCCTTGTAAGAGGGTTCAGCTTCTTGAGTTTTTCCTACTTTTCCTATTATTATATTTACACTTAAATTAATAAATGTTTTGACAAGTGATTCCCATATTAGAATGATAGGTAGAAGAGGGTTCAGCTTCTTGTTATGTCCTATCATAGAATAACTTGGGAAGATGGATTAGAAATGTTCTTCCACCAGATTGTATATGCAAGAGTCCAGATGGATCCCATACAAATAAATGAAAAATCACTTGAGAGTTCACACCACAAAAAGGAGGATCCATATGACAAACACCTTGTATTTAGCCATGCTGTGAATTGTGAAATATACAAAAACTGCTTTATTTCAGAACAATTCTTTGGCGGGATGTATGAGAAAGTACTTATTTTATCGAGATGTTTAGCCAAAATATAGAAGTATTTTATATAAAAACAACTGTCAAAAAATCTGCTATCCTCATAAGCACAAGCACAAGCACGGGGAGAAAAAGGACAATTTAAGAAATCAATCATTGAAAAAGCAAGTATTTCACAGCAAAAATCTAACACGCATTAATTCCTTTCTCAGGATATAAAAAGTTATGCAATAAAAAAGGTAGTAGCTACATCTATTATCCGTAATTGCTCTTTGGCTCAATGGCATAATTCAACTTGAATATAATGCATAACTCCCAAAATTGATGAATTCTTTCGAAAATCCATTTATACACACAAAAAAAAACAATTTCAGTCAAAAAACAAAAACAAAATATGTGCATAACAGTAAACTGTGGTGATCCTTAAAATTTTCCAAAACTAATCACACCATGAGTATTTAAAACAAATATATAAAACAGAATCCCGTGAAAGTGAAATGACTGCTGTTGGGGTTGTTCCAGAATCCAGAATAACAATAAAATAATGAATAATCGTTAAAGATTTTATGGGAACTCGGTGAAGGAAGGATAACACAGGAGGAAATTTTCTAATTGAATTACAAGGGATCACTTCCTAGCCCCTTCACACAAGATTTTTTTATTTAGTTTTTTTCACATCCCTCCACCAATCAAACTACTCTCTTAACTATCAACTAATTCCCTTTAATACCAGCTGTTACAATCTGAACTTCTGTACGACATACTCATTTTTCAAATATTAACCAATGGCCCTTACAATCTGTAACTGTTACAGTCTCTAACTGCTGCACTACAATTTAAAATCAATAGTACCAGCTGTGATAGTTTGTAACTGACCTTAATTACTGAATATTATTCCTCCTGCAGTACACCTTCCAAACCTTATTCCTTCTGTTGAACTCAAGCCCATTCCTAACTATATTCAAAAGCTCACAAATTATTTTAATTATCAGAATTGAACATATCAACATTCCAACTTAACCCTATACAACTTTATAAGCCTCGGGATTTCATACTTTGTTGAAGCTTAGCATCTGATTCCCTGATTTATCTATGAAATGAATTATTTCAGTTAGAAGCATTGAATCGCACCATATAACTTGCAAGAAAATGGAAATGAAGTTTTTATCACCAGTTGTTTCTGACACATATATAAAATGTTTACCTTCAACCGTATATTGTACTCAAAACTTCAAAATTATTCTTACTTATAAAAGAATAAAGCCGCACTTAAAAGTTGGACACTTAAATCTATATTCAGTCAAATTCTACTATTTAGCTAACAGATAAATAAGAAATTTTACATTAAAATATGAAAAACTAAATAAATAGAAACAGTGCTTTGAAAGGCAGAATAGGAGGCTTTACTTGTCCATTGTGTAAAAAACATGAAGGCACATAAATGCATGGCAAAACTGTGTTTCCTTCCCAAGCATAAAAACTGGTTCTGCAAATTCTGCTAATTGCTTGTTTCAACATGTTTCTCAAAACCCAATAATAACTCCTCCTTATTAGCAGAAGCTTACTGCAGCCTAAGGAGTATAGGATTGACTGGGAAATGGAAACAAATTGCTCCCTTTATCTGTAAGAAGATTAATTTAAAATTAGGAGCCAAATAATAACCATAACCATAATATGCATAATATATCATCATTCATCTTCTAATGGCACATCAATAAGTTCAAATTCAGCTAATTCATAGCTGCCAAATATATACTCACTAATTCAGAATTTGACAATCACCAACTAGAAATCTAAATAAGCACTGACAAATATGTCAAATATACATTACATCTCATGGTTGAAGAGCCCCATAGGAATCATCCAATACCACTAATTCAACACAAAAGATCATGCAAGCACACTACAATGAGTGTTTTGGGGAGGTCAGGATTGCTAAGATAAAAACTTGGGAATTGCGTAATTATATGAGTTGAGGAAAATCGCAATTTTGACTGCAATGATGTGAGGAGCAGTGAGTTTGCCAGAAATGACGGTAGAACACTGTCAATGTTATCAAATAACTATTATGGCGCCACCATAAAGGTATAACATGGCGTTTTCTAACCCCTCCAACATTCGCTATCCGTTATTTCCCGTTATATAGCGGCGTCTGCCATGGCCATGGCTTCATGGTGCTCATGGTGGAAATACTCCTCATCCTCTTTTTCTTTTCTCATCTTTTCTCTTGTGAAGCTCCTAAATTGTGAACAAACAACTACGGTGAGCCTTCTTAGGCCAACAGCCTCTCGGAGACGTGAACCATAGCAGCCTGAGCTCCAGAAAGTTTTCCGGCCAACAAATCCAACGACCTGCAAGAGTTCTTTTTTATTTTCTATTTGTTTTTTCTTCTTCCTTCCATTTCTTTCTTTTTCTTTGTTTTTTTCATCTATTTTTCATTTCTTCAGATGTTCATCATCTCTTTCTCTCTCCCTCTCTCTCTCTCTCTCTCTCTCTCTTAGTTTGTGTGACTGTTCTTGTTCTGCATCTGTTCAATGTTTTTGTTCTTGGTTTTTCAAAATTTTGGAATTTAGTTATCTGTATTTTAGAATTTCATTATCATAGTCTGCTATATTGTTTTCTATATTAAACCTATAATGTTGTTCCCAATTTTGTTTCACTTATAGCACAATGGGAAGCAGTAAGCACCCAACACTAAAGTCATGCATCCTAAAAGTCTGTTTTTTTAATTTTTGGTTTTTTTTTCAATATATATATATATTATTTTTGTCCGTCATGGCATCCTCCATAAGCCGCCATGTCATCCGCTATATGTTTATGGCGGATTTTGGGCTTACTACCATAGACCATTATCCGTTATTGATAACCTTGTGCGTTGTGGGTTCACCAGAAATGAGATTTAGGCACTTGTGTTGTTTGGTCACAAAACAGTGAGAAATTGTGCTCATTCTCCAATCAGAAACCTGTTTGTATCCAAAATAGAAATCTCAAAACTACACAAAAAATTGGGTTCATGCTTGCAGAATATCAGGTGTAGAAACAGGATTTTCCCCTGTGAAGCATAGCATCCAATATGGTCACTATTCCAGGATGTCAATTGCTTCATGACCACAACTCTGGCATCAATGAAACACATAAATATACAAAACAAAACTGGCAGAGACTCTACCAGTTGTTTCGTAAAGACCAGAATACAATACACAACTCAGCCACTATAGTGGCGTGATCCTGTTCCATTGATAAGTATGAATATTAAGATCAGATTTTTAAGGATCTTCTCAAACTAAGTTGAGAAGATCTACAAACAGTAATAAATAATAAAAGACCGGTACATCTTAAAATAAAAGAGAATGTATTCCAGTAATCAGCCACGCAAATAGTCCTATACAAGGCATGAAGAAAACAGTAGAGGAAGAAATTATATGATTTAAACCCTGAAAGGAACTACCAGTAAAACTTAAAGAAGCAAAGATAAATGTTTAAGACTTAAGATCATGTCCACTATATATTCATAAATCTACCCAAAAACCTAAAGGTTGACTTTGAATGACAAAACAAAGCAGAAAAAGATAATTTAGGGTTGTAATGAATTTGTCAACTAATTCAGACCTGCATCTTACAGCATTTGAGCACAGAAATTCAAATAGGTAAATAAAACAGAGCAAATATAAATGGCTTTAGAAATTGATTGACAATTCACAGGAAGCAGAAAAGACAACAATTATATTAAGGCTCGGGTTAGACTAGAAATAAAGGGAGGAAAGAAGAAAGTGTCAACAACCCATTTGACATACAAACTATTACATATAAGAGTAAGGATGATGTTTATAACTTCCCTTAATGTTTAAAGCTGATGAAATGAAGCGTTGAAAAATAACAACATTACTAGTTTACTAATACTTAGACTAACAATTTGTTACATGGAAACTTTAATTACAAGACAGGGAGGCACTGAGGTAACTTCATTTTTAATCAGCTTTAACAACATTTTAGGAAATCATTTCATTCAGAAGCTCAAGCTAATGCATGAAACAATTCACAGCATTTTTTCATCACCAGTCAATGTTATGTTTAACTTTTCAAGAACTTACTCAAACTAAAATGAGTAGATTTACAAGTAGTAATAACCAATAAAAGTCATATAGTTCCTCCCAAAAAAAATATATATAAAAAAAAAGAGAACAATTGGCCATTAATCTGTTCTGCCAATTTGACAGCCAAATAAATTTGACAATTATGAGACCATAGAACAATCCTAAATAACTAGTACAGAATACAAAGCAAAAAATTTATAGGCCATCTAAGAATACAGTCATTTGCAACAGTTCAATAAAATATACAAAAAATGTTATTGCTTTACAGAGTTAATGAGGAAAAGAAAGCGATGCACCAAGACTTCAGGAATAGGAAGAATTATACGCCTTGAAACCCTGAAACCCATTACCGGTGACACAATAGAAAATAAATAAAGATAAATAAACAGGTAAACTCAACAAAACAAAGGATAATTGCTTAAAACCGCGTCCACAATATATTCATGCAACATCTCACACACTGACAAATTAGCTTTGAGTAACTTACCAAAGGCAGAAAAAGAAAAATCATGGATGTATTGCTGTTATGTGATGAATGAATCAATTAATTCACTGTGTCTTTGTGTGTAGTTCACTGTTGAAATCATATAAAGTCAAACCATTTGAAACTTAATAGGTTGATTAAAAGTGTTAAAGATATAAAATATAAAAAAATAAAAAATAAAAAGAGTGTAATATATATAATAGGAATTTTGACAATAACAAATGCTTCCTCTATTTCTTGCCACCATACAACATGGACAGAGGAATAAGCATAATAAATGGAAACATAAGAAGAATACACACACAGAGAACCAACAAAACGCAATTCAACAGAATAGCAACACGGCAAAACAGAACAAAATGGAACATGCAACATGTTTGGGCACTGCCTTTATTAGGGAAATAATTCATTTATTTTCAAAACTGTCTCGGGTATACAACAAAAATAGTGATTATTTATTCCAAAACAGGTTACTAAATTGTGTGTGAAATTAGAGTATAAGTGACATACTTGGATGATATTAAGACATGGTCTGATATCAGTATTTAGTCATTCCAAAAGCCAACCACGAGATCATACTCGTGGAGTATAAAAGAGTCTGTTTCCAACATGTCTATAAATTATATGTATATAAGCAGTGCAATGCTCTAAAATAGTGTTGCTTCATAAGTTAAAACAGTGATGAAACTACAAACATTGAACAAATCATAATAAGGTTTAAAAATTACCAAAAATAAAAAATGTACCCAGCAGATTCTCTTTCCAATACCATCTCACTATCTCATATACACAAACCAACAACATATACAATATTTAAATATATCATATAGGTTAGAGTTTTCAATATACAATATTTAAACTAGAAATAAATAAAACAACTTAAGTAGAAATCTTGTAGAACAAAAATATTAGTTATATATGAGCTTGTGAAAACCTTTATTTTAGAAGAATGAAAACGAATCAAGTAAATAGCTAAATAGAGTATATACATTGAATGAGTGGGTTACAAATTGAGAAATGGAATAATCAAATAGGATAATTTCGTAAGTGTTCCTTCAATTCCTTTTCATTTAACAATTCAAGATTATATGACTTTTCAATTTTTCCAAGAGAATTGGTGAAAGGGTAAAAAAAGAAGAAAAAAAATAATGAATTGTTGAATTGTATGATTCGTGTCAATGATAGGAAATTACATAAGTTCATTCATGTATCATAAGATAGAAAGTCATTTAAGATTCATCTGATGATACAAATCGATAGGTGGCTGAATTGTATCAAATCATAAGAATCTAAAAACTACTTGTTAGTGTTGTTCAACGATCGGAATTAGAGTTTCACCTCAGTAATAAAAATAAACAAACAGGTAAACTCAACAAAACAAAGGATAAATGCTTAAGGCCATGTCTACAATATATTCATGCATCACTATAACATTGACAAGTTAGCTTTGAGTAACTTACCAAATGCAGAAAAAGATAAATCAGGGATGTATTGCTGTGATGTGATGAATTTATCAATTAATTTCACTGTGTCTTAGTGTAGTTCAATATTAAAATCATATAAAGCCAAACCATTTGAAACTTTATAGGTTGATTAAAAGTGTTAAAGATATAAAATAAAAATAAAGAAAAAAGAGTGTAATATATATAGTAGAAATTTTGACAATAACAACTACATCCTCAATTTCTTGCCACCATCCAACATGCACAGAGGAATAAGCACAATAAATGGAAACTTAAGAATACACAAACAGAAAACCGACAAAACGCAATTCAACAGAACAGCAGCACGACAAAACAGAGAACAAAATGGAACATGCAAAATGTTTGGGTACTGCATTTATTAGGAAATAATTCATTTTTTTTTTCAAAACTGTCTCGGGAATACAACAAAGAGTGATTATTTATTCCAAAACAAAGGTTACTAAATTAAGTTTGACATTAGAGTAAAAGTGATATACTTGGATCATATTAAGACATGGTCTGATATCAGTATTTAGTCATTCCAAAAGCCAACCACAAGATCATTCTTGAGGAGTATAAAAGTGTCTGTGTCCAACATGTCTTTATATGTATATGAACAGTGCTATGCTCTAAATAGTGCTGTGTCATAGGTTAAAACAGTGATGAAACTATAAACATTGAACAAATCATAATAAGGTTTAAAAATTGCCCCAAAAAAAAAAAGGACAACATATACTTTGCACCAGTCCGCTTACAAAAAAATAAAAGACATACACCAAAACAATAATAAGGGCTTAATTGAAGGTGCATGAAGAAGCATAATCAATTTAACCCAAAATTCACTCATACATTTCAAAAAAAAAAAAAACCCTAAATTCACTCAAATATCCAAAAACCAAGAGAAAAAAAAAAACTCATATAATTAGTACAAGACAGTTCTGCAGTTAGCTAGCAACTTATCCAGCACCCTATCTAACATCAATAACAAAATGTTCCCCTCATCTCAAAACCCAAACCACACGCAGGAAAGAGCTGCAATAAAAAACAATATACAAAAAAAAAAAAAGAGAGAGAGAGAGAGAGAGAAAGAGTACCTTACCGAGAGAGAGATTCCAAGGGCAGAGAAAAAGAGGAAATGACGATGAAAATGCACACAGGTGCTTCAAATTGAAACCACCCACAGTGTCCCAAAACTCAATCCGAGACTTTCTTTGTCTTTTCAATATATACTTATCCTAACCCACGTAACATTTAATTAAACTTTTATTTAATTGCAATTTTAGTATACTGTTGTTCAATGATCAAAATTATAATTTCACCCCAGTAATGTGTGTAATAAGGAGTTACATTAGATGTCTGTGTACCTAGTATCTATAGTACTGTATCTATGTTTTGTTCTCTAGTTGTTAGGCCCTTTGGCTGGGCAGAGAAAGTATTACCTCCAAGGAGCAGGAGCTTTTGCTCTGGAAGAGGTAGTGGTTCTTGTATGTTATCTGCTCATTGAGCTTGGTTTTGGATTGAATAAAGCCCTCATTTTTGTTCTAATTTTTTGTTTCCTAACAACAGAGTGTGACATTATAGTAAAGGTACCACAGTTAGAAATGCTATTAAAATATTCATTACATATTCACGTTTACTTATTTCAAAAGTAAACTATGAACACCACGCTAATTCTCATTCCAAGCAACACTCTTGTGAATACAAAAACATATAATTTCAACCATTCCAGTGAAAAATAAGGAACCTAAAAGGAAAAATGCAGAAGGTTATGAGGTGGGAAACAGAGACTAAAGAAGAGGGCACCTCATAAAACAACTATTGGAGATAACAAATAAATGAAATAGAAATCAATGTTTGTGCAAAGTGTTGAACAATCAAAACTCAAATACCGAAGCAGGTTTTCTAACCCTTACAAGGAGGGCAGCACAACTCTCCTATAGAAACTACTAACAAGCTTCAGTGAGATTCCTTTTTGTCTCTTTTATTCTCATTTTGGTATTACTGCCTTTGTTGAAGATTCCCTATCCTGCAATCTTAACGCTTCTTCCCCTCCTTTATCTAATAAAATCTCTTTTCTTAAATTAATAATTAAAAAAAAAAAAAAAAGGCAAATGAATCTTTTCATATTTAACAGATTGTGTAGACTTAAATATTCAAACAAAAAATAACATTCCCAATCACATTAGAGAGTTTCATATTTCACAGATTGTGTTTGTAAGATCTAAGAGGGGCAACCATGCAAACAACTGTATTATATCGAAACAATGCCAAGGTGAGTTGATAATGAGATATTCAAGTGAAGAATTGAACCATAATCAATTTAGGTTTTGCACGCGCGATTGATCACTCAAAATTGAGAGGTAGACATTCTCACATGGCGAAAAATAAACACGAACAGTTAATGGCAAAATGTGTGCCCTAGAAACGATTAAATTGCATGAAATTGAGGTTCGCGAGTTCCGAAATGAAATTCATCGTCTGAATAAAACCACGCAAACAGAAGAAAGGTGTAATCAAGAAGGAAAGTACCTTAGGATCTGAGTCAACTCGGAAAATGTCGAAAGAGGTGAAATTCAATTGCTTTGTTTTAACGTGCCAAACAAGCGTGGTAAGAGACTCCAGCTCCAAGTGAGAAACTGAAATTTATATAAAGAAAAGGGGGAGTTGAAATTAAAATTAAAAATAAAAAACTTAAGAGATTATATTTCGGCTAAAAACCTATTTTGGTCCTTTATAATAATTGTTTGTTTTAATTTAGTCTCACTTTTATTTTTGTCTCAATTTGGTCTCCAATAAATTAATTGGTTGCAATATCAGACTTCCGTCCAAATTATTTAAACGGAATTAACTGTTGGCCACGTGGATGTCACGTAGATGCATAGGTGGATGCCACGTGGATGCCAAATTTCTTGAATACACCTGGAACCAAAATGGCCCGTTCTAGTTTCAGAACAAGCCGTTCTGGGTGCACTTTTGGTGTGTTAAATTTGCACCTGGAATGGGTCATTCCAGGTGCAAAATTAACACACCACGAGTACAACAGAACGGTCCGTTCTGAAACTAGAACGGGTCGTTCTGGTTTCAGAATGGGCTGTTCTGGATTCAGAATGGGTTGTTCTGGATTCAGAATGGCACGTTCCAGAACGCTAACTTCATCCTTGCGCCAACCAAAATACCGCAATGTGATTCAAAAATTGAAAATAAAAATTCATATATCATAAATTCAAAAACAGAAATATGGTTTAGAGACTTAAAACAAAAATTCAGAACATAACATATACTATAAAAGTTCAAAGAAATTACTGAGAAGGAAAATCATTTAGATAACGCTGAAGGTGCCAATAATACATCTTATCCACCATATAACACTGAATGACAATATGATATCAACATTATCTACCTGTACACGTGGTTGTGTGGTGAAATGTTAGTCCTATATATCCTCTTCCTTTACTTCAGGTTGTACCTCCTCAAGAACAAGTTGTTGTTGTTGGGGTACATCATTAATGACTTCAAGGAAAAATACTATGTCATTTCATCTTTTACTGTATAGTGTCAATTTGGTAGTAAGTGGTTCACTCCAGTTTGACTAACAATGAAATAAAATATGCTATCATTGTCCTTAGTGATATGCAGTGTCCTTAATGATACACTGTATAGTTCAACTGTTTAGCAATTGAAGTTATCAATTTCCATTGACAATATTACCAAATCCAGTATTTGAAATGTTTTGTATCTTGGGTCTTTTTACTTCCACGATTCACAACCATGAACTATAATCATCGATCGTTTGTGTTTGGCATTCTGGAACCAGAATGGCCCGTTCTGGGTGCACTCTTGGTGTGTTAATTTTGCATCTAGAATGGTCCGTTCCAGGTGCAAAATTAACATACTAAGAGTGCAACCAGAACGGGTCATTCTGGTTTCAGAACGGACCGTTCTGGTTCTAGGAGTATTCAAGAAATTTAGCATCCACGTGGCGTCCACCTATGCATCTACGTGGCATCCACGTGGCCAACAGTTAACTCTGTTTAAATAATTTGGACGGAAGTCCGACATTGCAACCAATTAATTTATTTGGGACCAAATTGAGACTAAAAATAAAAATGGGACTAAATTGAAACAAACAATTATTATAAGGGATTAAAATAGGTTTTTAGCCTTATATTTTTGAATCATAAGAAAGAAGAGGATTATGAATTGAAAAAAAAAATCTGAATAAAAAATAAGAAAGAAGAAGGTTGGTTAACGAAAAGGAAATTGATCTGGCTTCTTAATATTAATTAAGGTTTAAAAGGAAATTAATGATCTAAATTATTTTAAATTAATTTAGATTATAATTTAAAACTGTAATGAAAATGAGTTACAGAAAAAGTTAAAAAAAATAAGTAATATAACCGTGTTTCTAATATATAAAATAATAATTTCATAATCTTTTATTGAAAATTTTATAATTAATTTCTCTTTTTGTCAATTATATTTTAAGAAAGTTAAATAGATAAAGTTATATATATATATATATATATATATATATCTTAAATATTATATATATATATATATATATGTGTGTGTGTGTATGTGTGTGTATGTTCAAAAAAGAGAGGCGTTAGAATGGAAGTTAAATAGTATTTAAGATTTAGGATTTCAAAAATAATAAAGTAGTAATTTTACGAAGAAGTGAGGATAAAGAGTTAAGAAATTGAACACAAAGTTCGTCTCAACCATCAATACTTTATGAAATAGTAATTAATAAAATATTTAAAACAATTTTATGATATAAATTTTAAAAATAAATTATAAGATAATTTAGTAACTAAACAAAATTATCATTTAAATTTAAAATAAATTAAAGATTTTTTTATAAGCTCATTATATATATATATATATATATATATATATGACTTCAAATTATATTTTATAAAATTTGTGTTTATTTTGTACTTCAAAAGCATTTTAATTTTTTTGTTGGTTTTAATGGAACAATTTCCAAATGGTAAAGCAAAAGGTGGTCCAAGTGATGATATTGGTTGGCACTTTGGTACACTTGTGTCTTGTCGGGTAAAAGTAGAAACAATGTTGCTTGTAAATTTTGTGGAAAAATGATATCGGGGGAATTACTAGGTTAAAGGAACATTTTGCACACATTCAAGGAGAAGTTAAAAGGTGTGGTAAGGCCACAACTTTGGTTCCAGAAAAATATGAAACTTCTATGGGACAATAAAATAAAGAAAAATTTTAGGAAACTGAATTTAAACCTAACTGAAACCTATAAAATTGAATGATAAGGTAAGAGTGGTCTCCCATTTATTATCAGACACACAAAGTTCACACACATCTCCATATTGATATAATATTGTCCACTTTGACTTTAAACCCTCATGATTTATTTTTTATCATCTCTCAAAAGGTCTCGTATTAATGAAAACTATGTGTACTTTATAAATTTTTATTTCTCCACGTCATCCAATGATGTGAGACTTTGTTTGTATCTCAACAAACTTTCTCTCGAACAAAGAATCATGGTTTAACCTTCCTTCAGCGAAAACTTTTTTTTTTCATCTATGAATATTCAATAGGGGTCTTTAGAGTTTAAGCCGCACCTATCTAGCTCTAGATATTGTTGTATGTTTTGAGTAATATACATGATTTGAACGAAATTTGTCTCCAAATTCTCTCTCAAAGCTTGTTTCTCTCCTTGAAACTTGATCATTTTCTCTTATCCTCTCTTAAGTGTGGTGAGAATTGGAGGGACTTATCACTTACATAAGTGTGGCATCACCAAGGGAGATTCCGTCTCTTCCATGTGTATTTGGAAATGACTTCTAACACCTTAGAAAGCCATTGAAGAAGCTAAAAGGAGACCAAGAAGCAAAAGATCCGTTTTAGAAGCTTAAAGGAGGAATTACATCAATTTAATCTTTCTTTGGAGTTTCCATCATTTAGTTCGGTGCATTGCACGTCTCAAAAATTCATACACATTCGTTTTCTCAATATCATAGACAATAATATAAAGGACTTATGTGTCCATGGCGATCTTAATACTTTGGCAAGAGTCAAGTTGCTTACAAAAACTTGGGCACGAGTTACTTTGAGCATGAGCAGTCTTTTATTCAACAAGCGAGGGAATGTTGATTGGACATGGCAGTGGTAGTGCCTCATGGCTGGACTATTCAATGAAGTCGTCGTGCAGACGATGATCACAAAGGACGTGCATGTTGAGACCGAGGGCAGCCACATCGTCGACAATGTTGGCCAAGTTCACTCTCAATGACATTAGAGGCTGTCAAAGGTAATTGATTCTAACCTTGATTGCACTCACTCACTCACAATTCTCTAAGAAATCGTAGAGGAAATTGAACAATGAAATTCTTATTGATTTATTGAAATTATGTACAATTGGTTCTATTTATAATTCTAGCTTCCAATGGTTATAACCTTTTTTCGCGCCAGAATCCTAATTGTTTGCTTTCTAAGAAAAAGTAACAACTAATAATAGAATTAATCCTATTTTTAATTCCTTTCACTTCCTATTATTACAATTTTCTCCCCTTCAAATTAAGACTTGTCTCCAAGTCCCTTACACTACTTTCCACTTAAAATTTGGATATTGGATCTACAACTCATGTAATTCTTTCCATGTTGCATCCTCAAGGTTGGTTTGCCCTCACTGTACTAATACTTCATTAATGGCTTTATTATTCTTCTTTTTCACTCTTCTATCCAATATGGCCATTGGTCTAATTAATAAGTCTCCTTCTTCATTGAATCTTGGTAATTATTCTGAAACTCCATGGCTGCCATGATGCTTCTTTAATAATGACACATGGAATACATTGTGAATTCTGGTCTTTGCAAGAAGGTCCAATCTGTATGCTACTTTCCCAATCCTTTCAATAACCTTGTAGGGACCATAGTACTTAGTTGATAGCTTGTGAAAAGGTGTGTTTGCCAAAGAATGTTGCTTATATGGTTGAATCTTCAAGTACACAAGATCATCATAGTTAAACTCTTTGTTTATCCTCTTCTTGTTTGCATACATCATCATTCTCTCTTGAGCTTTACAGAGATTTTCCTGTAACATTCTTCCAATCTACTCTTTTATCTTCACTATGTAATCTATTGCCTCAATTAGAGTTTCTCCATTGTCTACCAAATTAGGAATTGTAGGGACGTAGTCATATAAGGCCTCAAAAGGTTTCATTTTGGTGGTTGTATGAAACCTGGTATTATACCATAGTTCTGCCATTGCTAAGTGATTTTTCCACTGTTGGGCATACTTCCTATAGCACATCTCAAGTAAGCTTTTAGGGACTTGTTGAAGTTATCAGTCTGTCCATCAGTTTGTGGATGGAAAGCTGTTGATCTTAACAACTTAACACCATGTGACTGCATCAAACCTATCCAAAAGGTGCTTAAGAAGATTGTATCTCTATTAGAAATGATTTCCTTTGGCCATCCAAGCAATCTCACCATTGTATTCATGAATAACTCTACTACTTTTGCTGCACTAAATGGATGTTCAAAAGCTATGAAATGAGCATACGTAGTGAGTGCATCTATGACTACTAGTATGACACTCATCCCATAAGACTTAGGCAAACTTGTGATGAAATCCATAGAGATTGACTTCCATGCTTTATCAGGTATAGGTAGAGGAT